TTGATTTTTTGCTGAGAGTAGCCGATTTACAGCAAATAAAACTTTTTTAGAAATAAAGAAGTTGTCGAAAGAAGAAATAATGAACAGGAAAAGGGTAGAAAAGCTTTCTGAGGAACTGGAGGAACAAAAGAATCGGCGGCATGGATATGTGTTAGTTTTAATGTTGATAACAGCTACGAAAGACAATTCTGTTGAAAGACAGGAAAAATGTTTGAGGCTGGAAAAGTACAAGCGTCCCGGTTAGGTTTAGTCAAATTTTGCAATTTTAGTCCTTCTGCTTCACCATCTTTACAAAAAAATTTTGACCGGCTAAATGGTTTATTAAATGACTTTGGTCGAGACGAGCGAACTTCAACATTGAAGCGAAGTACAACACCTGCAGTTGCCACATGCACCGCCATTTACACGTTCAAAGCGCAAAGCCCAAGGTTAGTTGATCATCTCAGGAGCTGTTTTTATCCTGACTTCACCCTCTAGTCGGGGTTTTTTTCTGATAATTTCTAACTCTCTTCCAGAGAACTATCTTTCAATCGTGGCGATGTTATTCGAATACACAGGACTATAGATGCCAACTGGATGCAAGGTGAGCGAAACGGTCAAACTGGAATATTTCCCTCTTCTTATGTACAGGTAATCCTATCATTTTTTTAACGCAAGTTCTTTCGTTGTTGTTATACAGTAGCGTGCTCTACCGTAAACTTGTGCGGAATTCAGATTGTTGCGAAGAGGAAAACGAATGATTTCGCTGAGAAAACAAATGAAAAAAATTAAATAATGGCGTTTAAGACAGAGAAAAGAAGCTTAACTAAGTGTTTTAGATAGATGAATATTTGCCTTACGAACAGAAACGGGTCTTGGTTCTATTTCCATTTTATGCGAGAAACAGAAATGAACTATCGCTTAAGAAGGTTTGGTATTGGAAGAAATTTAGCAGAAAAAAATTTCTTTTTTCTGCAGAATCTGGCATAATTTGTTTAAAATAAACATTTTACAAGTGAACTTTCTAAAATGGTTTACTCTGGTTCAATGTTTTCTTAGTGCATTAAAAAGAAGCATGTCGACGTTATTTGGTCGCAGTTTTGGATGAACAAATGAATCCTCTTAATGACGCAACGCTTTTTGCTTATTCAGTCTTTTTACGTTTTTAAGTCGTTTTAAACGAATAATTAATTCTTGTTAATTAAAACTCAATTCAATTTTACTGCCTACAGAAAATAATTTTCATTCGAATATTAATTGTGAAACGTATGAAATGTAGTATACCGAAAAATTACAACTTTTATTGTTGAATGAAAATTGTGTTGCAGGGCGAATTAGTTCGGTTTAGACGGACTATTGATGCAAACTGGATTGAAGGTATCAATACAAAAGGTGAGATTGGAATATTTCCTAAAACTTATGTTCAGGACTACGAGCCAGAACTGGAACCTCCACCCTCGTTTGACGGGCAAATACCGGACAGGCCAAAAACTCCAAAACTTATGTCACCTGCACTTAGGTAGACCTTTTGTCTACAAATAAATGGGCTTTTTGTTTTTTTTTTTTTT